AGAATAATAAAGTAAGCGGTCCTCCATAAGCAATAATGAAATGAATGCTAGCTAAAATAAATTGCATGTTTTGATCACCCGCTGACTCGAATGATTTATCGTAGGAAACTTAAAAATGTCATCAACGTTTTGTATCTATGAGCAGTTGAGCACGGTAATTAACTTAATGTCGGCAAATTTGTTGCGAATGTAGTACTTTTTTCTTTAATTAAAATTGGTCACAGCATTGTCAGAGTTTCCACGCGCACTGACATTATTAAATTACACAGCAATTTTGCAGCGACACAGCTACACGCACCTCTGAAAGATCCGACTCGTATTACCATAGTAAATACCATAATTACTACGTAATGGTCACGGCTGCCACATACTTCTTTTATTGTTATCATAATATACCGGGGCGCTGAGTTCATCTGTTGGGCAGCGTTTTTACTGTTAAGATTCATTAGCATAATTCGATTTGCCCATAGGAAATTACAATATTTTGTGGCACTTATGTGGGTAGTCATTTCCAATAAATATCTGTACATGAATTTGTGCCTCTGCTCAGAGAAAATAATATTATGTCGCAACTCTTTCTTTGTGAAGACTCACCCTAATGAGGATACAAATTATTTTTTAAGTAAGAAGAAATGTACTAATTGCTCTGTTTTCTTGGTTGAATCACAGGTGAAGGGAAATGAATGCCCTCCAGGGAGATAATTTTGCAATTATTTTCCCGAAAAATATTTGGGAGGTTGTGCCAAAAGTGTTTGGAGGGCAGGTGTTTCGGTAGGGTTACCTCTTTTCTTAAAAGTATACTTATCTCTTATCTATTAGACGAGTCCGTCTGTCCGTGGTGCTGTTTCAGCGGCCAAACCGTAAGAGATAGATAAGAGAATATTTAAGTTATAAGTTAAGAATAGTCTGATAAGACTACATACCGGATTTGAGTAACGTAGCACTTCCGGTTTTCGAGAAATCAGGTTTTGGTGAACATTTGGTTCACTGGTTTGCTAGTATATACTAATAACAAATTTAAAACCGGGAAATGAAAATCTGATGATTGACCATCAGATTAAATAATAAATAGCTTATATAAATAACTTATTGATTTCTTTTCCTGACTTCTAAACTAAAAAATACATAAATTGGACATTCGGCAAAGACGATATTAAATAAAATAAATGTTACTTAAACATCTTTACACTATCGCGATATTTTCAAAACTGCAATTATCTAATGGTATAAAATACATAATCATAGTATCATCAATATATTTACTTTAAAATATTTGATTGCCGTTGCATGAATTCACCAAGCAGTTTTCAAGCAATAATGTAGTAGTTTGAGACTAGAAGTACTTTGCTGAATAATTTTTACTCACATACAATATACTTATATCATCTTATTTCGAAAATGATACACAGACAGTACGGTTGATTAATAAAAGTTTTAGAATACATGTGGTTTCCGGTTTTATATGCACAGAATCCAAAATAAATCATTCACTAAGTCAATAAGAGTCATCTAGGCCTAATTCTGGCTTAATTTGATAAGGCAAAAGCCACTCCTTTTCTTTTACTATAGAGCAATATGAAATTTTCAAAAAAGATGTCTTTTAAGGTTTAGAGAAACATACTAAATCGGGCCCACTGTGTTTTCAACTCATAATAAATAAGCTTCTAAGTTATCCTATCCATGTGAATAGCCCATACTCATGGGCTCGAGTACTCACTCGGCAGTAGAAACAACATTGGGGATAAAAAAAAAATCATAACATTGGTGATATTATAGAAAGATCAGAAATTAATAAACACACTTAGAAACTTCAAATAATTCCTGATTACACAGATGAAATAATAAACAAGAATATTCAAATTATCATATCATTTGATGCTAAGCGAAGCTGAATATTAATTAGAAGAACATTTTAATTGAAATATCTAAACACTTCAACAGATCTTGTTCGAGTGGGAAGCGGGAATCGAACGAAAGCTCTCAAATATTGTTTGTTAGAGGATTACGAGTGATAATAACAAATCCCGGTCGCAAGAGTAGGTTCAGGATTTCGTTTCTACTGCCGTATCGTTGTTTTGTGAAACATGTTCTAGCTAAACTTGTTAAATAATCAGTTTGATTTTTGTAAATAATAAGTGTTTTGAATCGATTGTGAAAATTTGCTATAATCTGAAATAGGAAGGGCATATGTATATATAGCTGATGTGTTATAACTTTATATCTGAACCATAGGTAATATGAATAACTTTGTCATTTTAAATTGGTTGCAGGATAAAGGTAATGTATTTGGTTAAATAGACTGCTAGACCCCCACTTCCTGGCGTATTGTGATCAATTGATTTGTTTAGCCTAGGCCAATCTTAATTCTAGAGCTGTCAAACATAATTTATGCGGCTATATCGTACTTTACATGCAAGTCAGGATTGTTAAGGAACTTGTAACCGTAGCCAAAACTAGCGGATGTACCAACTACGAAATATTGTTATCTTTTAAACCTAATCCGTATCGGAGATGAATATTTCGAAAATATAAAATTTTAAACTATTGGAAAATCAGAAATATTTTCATAACCGTTACTTTATCTAAAATCCATTACCAAACCCGAAACAAATCCAAAACATCCTTAATTTATACCTGCTTAAGCGACACCGTATACAGAATTATTAGACTAGTGATTAGAGGAGTGGTAGTTTAATTACCTGTAAATTATTTTAGCCACCGTTAAAATAATTTCTTAAAAGATGATCGAATTGCTTGCACAATTTCATTCGGTTGGTTAATGATAGGCTTAAAATGAATTTATAATAGATTATTTACAAAAAATCTAATGTTTCTATTTTCATCCCATGCATACAGAGATCGTAATTTCATCGCAAAGTCGATGAGATTGAGGTTGTTATTAATTTGTAATCTATTGTGAATATCAGGAAAATGTCTTGTTTCTGTATCTTACGATTTTGTATTTCTAATAAGATATAAGTAATAATACAATGGTGGGTCACTAAATGTTGCTTCTGGAAATTTTAACCTAGATTGTCGATTTAATATTTCTTCTATTAACTACTCCAGCAAAATTAGCAAAGATCTTTGTAAAAAAAGAAGTTTTACGATTCCAAATGAAATGAAATGGACCGGAATCTTTGTGGTCAATTTATTTACTAGTGATTCGTTATGGTTTGGGCGGATACTTGGTCTGATGATAAATTGAATGCAGTCACTCATTTTGTCCATGCCCCAAGGATGAAACCAAGACCAAATCACGGCTTAAGATTAGGGGAATAGAGTTTTGATTTGAATAGCAAGTCAAAAGAAATTTTATAAGCGAAGAATGTATAGATATCTAAATTCGACCTTAAATCAATGTGATGTTAATTCAATTTTCAGCGGACGTCGTCAGTGCTGTTTCTGTGGGATTCAAAATGACATTACAGATTGACAAATGATGACCAGTCACAGTTCAACGGTTAATTTGTATGTAAATATGATATTTATTATCTGAGCTTAATTTGCTTTTTAACAGATTTGAGGATACATTTTGTGAACTAGAATTAAAAACAACATTCATTTGGATTACCAATATAGCTGTGAGAGACATTTTTAACAATAACAATTGAGTAGAAAAGAAAAATAAACGCCAAATTGCACTCATTTACTGGGTCGCGACGATCAATCATGGCGGCCAAGTCATCAGCCGGTTCAAATGTCAAACGTACCTAGGGTGGCAATAAAAAGAAAAACCGAGTTGCCATTATTAAAAAAGTGACTGTGACTTTATTTCCATTGTCGATTGCCGATTCGGGATTATTAAGTGACTTGCATATTTTTTTGTGTTCTAATATTGATAGATTGGTTTTTTTGAGTAGGTGACTTGATTTTGCGTGTGTGCTGTACGGGTAAGTGCTGTGGATTATAATATCTACGGGAACTGTATGTATGTCAAAATAGCACAAACTGATAGTCATCGGCGTTGTTCACACGCGAAGTGAAATGTATTATCTGCACCGTTAGACCAGTTTATTCATTGCACGTTAGTTCTTATTGCCAGTTGAACAAATTAATATTAGCTGTTGTACGACTCACTCGGATGCAACAACGTAATTTTATAAAATATCGCATTCGTGTGTAGTCAATCGCTCAATATTCGTATGTCTCGTTATTAAGGGAATGTATTAAGGGGATTGGATTCAATTTGGCGGAATTGATTTTCGTTAATTTTACGATTTCGTTTGCGTGACCTCGTCCGGTAATAACCTAATAAATTCATCCGTTGGGAAGAGGGTTTAGTAAACAATAATCCTATTTTATTAGCTATTTCATTAATTCATTCCTAATCAGAGCATATGATTTCGTTTATCATAATAATTACTATTAAAATCAGGATTAATTTAGTATGGTAAAAAATTAAGTGAGACAAATAAGTAACAAATACATAGGTAGATTTTCACATTTTTGTTTCTATGATGAAAGCTCAGTCCACATAAGCATCGTGAATCATTAGCAACAGTTTTGTGTTGATAAAGTCTTTTATCGATAACGATCTAATATAAATATTTTGTTGATCTTAATTTGATATATGAAACGATGAACGGTTGTAACGCGAGAGTGTGTGAATGCAAACACGAGAGAGAGATCGCGTGCGCGCGCTCAATATCTGCTCCACGCTACCCCGTATTTTAACAACTGTCCTAATACATCTTGCAATGTTGTTTTAAACTGTTTTTGCCACAATACCGTTCATTCTTTTTTACCATGTTTACTTTTCATTTTTATATTGTTGTTTATGTTGACTCCATCATTTATAAGGGTTCATGTTTTTTGGACGAATAAAATGTTCTTTCATAAACCGAATCCGCTCCGTTTTAGACGTACACATATACGCGGTACTCTATACATTGCATGTAAATTTATCTGTGTAATGTCCAAAGTGTGTTCCAAGAGAATCCAAATTTTTAAAATTTTAAATATTCAACGAATTGGATCGATTTTTTTCTTCATTTCAGGTGCCTGTCAATGAAAGCGCCAGACAGGTATGTCGCTAAGTCGCTCGCGCCGCGCGTTCGGTTTCGTTCGGCCGGGTTCGGTTACGTTCGGGCGGACTCGGCCGCACAACCGGTCACTCGCAGGCAAAGGGGTAGCCTGGAAGACCACACGACACACCCGCAACGCAGGATTATTAAGACCAGTATTATTTTTCCAACAAAATTTTGCTTATTGGTGTGTTTTCTTTCTTTTGTTAATTTTGGATATCTTATTCCCATTCAGCTAAATTCCATGTGTCCACCTCCCTACCAGGTAGGTCCCATTTCATTTGCCATCGACATTTCAAACCTGTTAAGTTGAATTTGAATGCTTGATTGGACCGTGAATCTTTCTAAAGTTTCGATTGCCTATGTTCAGTGGTGTGATTATTTTACTGTATTGTTGTGGGTGAAATGTTAGTTGTCGTTGTTTTGGTTCCAGGTTACACCCTAGATACTAAATAAAATGACATCCCAACTAAATCACAGATAAATTTACAAAGTAATTGCGTAGATAAATGAATGCGTTAGTTGTTTATGTTTAGTTTTTTAAGCATGGTTGTTTATGGTTTATTTATTTCTTCATTGGTAATCTTGATGTGGACTGAATTAGTTCTAAGTATAAGATAAGTTAGTGAATTAAGACTGATTTTCACTTATCAATTAACGTGTGTCAATAGATTGTAATGGTCTTTGATATTTGAGAGCTTCGAGCACTCTCACGGCGGCAAATTTCTACATCTGTCTGTGGCGCTCACGCATGACCGATAACGAGACCCGAAATCACTCGAATGACAAACGCGTGATCATCATCAAATCGTAAAGGATTTAACGCCTCCGTTGGCACGCTTCTTTTGTTGGCGTCATAAAGCCGGCCATTAAAATGTTTGATAAAACGTTGGCCCAACAAAAAGAGAGTGAGGAGCTACTGTGGGCTCCCCACCGCGCGGCCTCATTGACGAGCGGTGCCACGCTGAGGTACACACAGCGACTACAAAGCCAAATGTAGCGCTCGTTCGTTTTCGATGATATTGCAAATCTTGAGTGGCATCAGTTGCATAAAATGAGTAGGATCGAATACTCGCATAATACTCGACAGAGAAAAAACTATGTATATTGAAAACGATTTTCCCTATTTATATTAGGTATTCATCTAGAACACTTTTTTCTATTATTAATTAGAAGATATTAAACAACAAAAATTACATTTTATACTTAGACGTTCTCATACTTAACTATAGTTATAACTGGTGAGCTTTTAAGCGCATTAAGATAAAGACTAATGTGAATCGGTATAATCCCGAATATGTCAGATCTCTTATTCTTATTTATTTTTTTATAAATTTTTTGGAGTATTATCGTAGGATGCATTAAAGCGTTGGTTTCGTACAGTAGGGTAAATGCTGTTAGATGTTTATATCTTTTCCCATGACGCTTTGTACTTATATTTGTCGAACGGTCATGTCGTTTAATTGGCGATCCTTTTTTTCTATTTCAATAGATAATGCAAAGAGGCAAAGCAAAAAAGAAATATTATAAAGGATAATATTATATTGCTTGGTGGTATATTAATTTTACTGTAGTAAAATCTGTAAATTGCGAAAGTGCCATAATATAAAATCTGAGCCTGAGAATTAATAGCTAATTCTCCCCCTAAGTCCCCAATCGCTACCTGCAACTGTAAACAAAAGGTTTCTCAAAGCGAATGTTCCCAACAAAACGTACTGCAATCACAAACAAAGGATCATTTTACATTCTGACGCCTTTTAAACTAACAAAGGCGGAATTCAAATAAACACTAAATTGTTAACCCTTTGACCGTCGCCGGTGGGCAATTTTCACTTCGGAAAATGGAATAGAAATGATTTTGCAAAGGGTCCCGGTGTCGGGGTGCCCTGTGACACCGGGCGGACGTGTATCGTGTATCTTACATTTTAATAGTTACAAATATAATTTGTTTAATTTTGTTTTAAACTCTAAAATGTCACACTTATTTTTGCCTGAAATGCTGGTGCGTGAAACTGTACTAAGTAGTTTTATATTTTTTGATAACGAATTAGTCTTCCATTGATCAGTTCATATCAAACTGAGTAGTTTTCCTCTGTAGGTAGTTATGGTAAGGTATATCGCAGCACGATGAATATAGTCCTAATATATTCTTTGGGAATATTAAAGCCTCTCCACACTACTCAGGCTGATTAAGAAACAAACGTTTTTCGCATTTCTCTTATTGAAATACACGTTCAAACACTATACTTTAAGTTACACTTTAATGATACAAATAACTTATTAAAGTTAATAATTAAAACTCAATACAATTAAATATAAACCTCTAAATTGTAAGACAAAATATTGTTAAGAAAGTATAGTCAAGGTCTGTTTAGTGATCGATAGAATTTGTTGAACTCATCAGTAATAGTAGTTAAAGTAACGTGTTATCTTATTTCATTACTGTAACAAAGCTTTCACATGATTAACATAAACTTAAATCAACGTCTCTCAGTACCCCTAGCACGAACCAATATTGAATTCTTAACGTTTGCGAGCACGAAATGTCATTATCAAATGTGTAGGTATTTTATGATGAAATGATTTTTAGTTCTCGTTACGTCCGTTATGGCTCTGCTCTTTAAGTTCCCATACAAAATTTGACAATGACATTCTGGACTCGCAAACGATTCGAACTCGATAATGAATCGTACTAAGGGTACTGTTTGGTCATCTGACCACGCATTAATACCTAGTTATTACATCTGTAATAACTAGGTATTAATGCGTGCATTCGAAGACTCGATGCTCGTGCGAATGATGCGAATACATTCCATTCCAGGTCTTGTAAATCAGACGACTGGAAAATATTCCCCCGTGGGGGTGCCATTGTGAATCCAATGAAGGTGTCCAACTGTGTTTTGTTTACTCCAACACCCAATGGCGACCAAAGGGGGAGGAAGGAGGGTCGTAGCGGTCAAGAAGTCTGTTCAGAATAATATTCTTAGATAAAACAATTTTGAAAAAAAATAAGGGGAAGAATAGACCAATCGCTAAAGTTCTTTGGATGTGTTGATAATTCTGTCTAAAGTCCGACTTAACTCATTTTGAAAATGTGCCCCAGTCAGTAGGTATATTTAGTACAATTCAGCTTCATATTTGTTTCACGACATTGCTAAAGACTCCCCGGGAACATTTTGGGGAATAAAAGTACCTGTGTTAATAGTTAGCTTTAATCTACATGTGAAGCAAATATCTCCTAAATCTGTTCAGTCACGTCCATATTTCTCAACTTTTCAACATTTGCCAGGATAATCAAATAAAAAAATAAAACAATGAAACGAATAGGTAAAAGGAATAATTTAATATTACATTCTCTCTCAATCTAAATTATCTTATAAACAGCTTTGTTTGATTTAACTGGTTTATTAATAATACAAACGACAATAATTCCTAGTATTGCTCGATCCCAAGTAATAAGAAGGATATCGCAGAATTATATAAAAACCTTTCAATGAATCAAAGGTGTGGTCGCGACTCAATCTCAATGTCAGTCAGATTGAGGCTTTGATCCTGCCGCTCGCTGCCCCTACCTTAGCGCTCACGCCGATATTAACAATAGGTATTCTCTTAACACCTTGTCAAACCACTCATTAATTCATACTTCACAAAACAATGGACATCTTTCACGACTCTATAGACATATAAATAAAGTGTAATATCGTAATATGATGTCATCGCGACTATTAGAAACGTAATGTATTACGAATGAACATATTTTTTGTCTACGCACCACAGAATAGAGTTTTGAATTGAATGACTCTCCGAATCCTTGTTTGGTAGTTAGTAAAATAATCGGACACACTATTGTAACATTCAAATGTGATTGGTTGAAACGGCTTCAACAATAAAATTGATTTATTATGGTGACTATTCAATGTAATTGAAGGCTGTTATGGTAATAATACAAATTGAGTGTCCACTCAAATTTATTAACAGTATGAATTTTGTCTTTTAAAAATACATCAGACGGAATCAATTCCTATGAAAATTTTCGACAAAACAATTTCCTTGTAGGTATTAGTGGATGCCAGCGACTACGTCAGCGTTCTATAGTACATTTTCCATAAAAAATATCCCCGGATTCATACTTTCAAGTTTTGTTTTCAAGATCAAAATTATCCCTACGCGGGATATTTTTTACAAAATCTAAGGAACAATAGTGTTACAGGCAAGCCAGAGTTACTTTCGAATCCATATTAACTTTGTCCAAGCCAACAAATCTATTGACGATACTGCGGAGGCGGCGGAGGTGCTAACGTGTGCATCATGTGAGAATTCTCTCGTGTTAAATGAGCCCCCTTGCCAATTACGTCACAACTGGTCGGTGCGTTGCCCATTCGGCCACCGCACTCACCCACTTGCGCAAGCAGGCGTGATGACAAACGGAACGTGTACTTTCCCTCTCATGATGCCCCAACTTCCATGCCCGTCTTCTGTGCGATTCCCTCCATATGCGACATGTCTCGAGCGAGAGTGAGAGATCGGTCCATGCACTAAATTGTGCGTGATAAATGCATCCTGTCTTATAATTCCGAAGAAAATCGCACAACGACTAAATAACTAACTTTATATACTAATAAATAATCCTAATAATCATACTAACGATATTGTAATTTTTAAGTTATTTTACAAGGGCGGAAAGTTCTTAAGTAAGGGAACAGTAATTTTCTCACTTGACATTAATATTGTACGAGAAGCTACAATATCGAAACGCTCGATATTCAGAAGGCAAATATTTCAAAGCGTCTAAGACAAATGAATCTATAAAATTAATTGGACAAGTAATCGAAAACTCAGAAAGAATTTCTTCATCTCTGCTGTGGGGGAGCGGGAAACAAATGAGGGGCGGACATTGAATTATTCGATTTCCTTATTTGCAACCAATCAATATCGTATAAGGGAATTCGATATCATGCCCAGGCGGAAGTTATTTGGCTATCGACATGGTAAATTAGCGT